CTCACTGCATTTGGCAGCATCACTCACATGACTATACTCACTGCATTTGGCAGCATCACTCACATGACTATACTCACTGCGGAACTGCAATGAGCAGCTCTGATTAACAAACCGTTGTGCCAACGTCAAAGTTTTCTCGAAGGGGCTGGGCAACGGCTGATTGTTGGGTAGAAGGTATTAGGATTGTAGATTTTTTTCCCTTAATCAGTCCCCAAGAGTAGTTGAGGAATAAATCATCTCTACAGGGCAAGAGAAACAGATTTTGTATGATGAGGTGAGGGAGTATTCTGATGGGTATACTGAGAACTGGCGGTTTTTCGCTTGCTTATTTTAGCCAGGGGTGAGTCAGTACTTTGGTTAGCATAGAGTGTCCCTGTCACAACACTGCACATCCCTGGTTTTTTGTTTGGCTCAAGGGAAATATTGCCTTCTACAGGCTCATCAGCACTACCACTGCCAGCATGCAATAATTTCATTTTTTCCTGATGATCTCCCACGCGGAGCCAGCTAAGCAAACATTAGGCCGAGGTCCGACCTATACACAACCTGCAGTTGTTTCACCCTGACAGTAGGGGGCCTCGGGAATGGAATTTTATTCAGAAATGTTTTTTGGCAGCGACTCTTGCAGTCACAACAAAAGTCACGGGTGGGAGTGTGAACTTCAAACCTGTACTCAAGTGAAGGGTCTTTGATGGCAAAGCCAGTCAGAAACTCTTTTTGAGGCATTTCTATATCCTACAATGCAGGCAGGCAGACATTCTGGGAGAACCCGACCACTTGCTACTCAGTCTTGTGCATCGAGCCAAATTGCAAAAAGCAACATTTGCTGCGATGATCATTTTTCAGTTGGAGGTTTCTGAGCTTCCTGGATGGTTGGGGGTTCCAGCACCAGCGGGTGGGTGGAGTCCCATAGGTGCCACCTTCAGATGTTCCACCAATGCTCAATGTGCTCTGTCTGTGTGTGTAATGGAACTCAGTTGGGTTTCATACTCTGATGTCATTCTCAATCTACTGTAAATGCTCTAGGATGGTTAGGTGACCATGGTGATGATTATGGTAACAGAAGTGTATTATCAGATGCTTAAAACCAGAAATCAAGAACTGAAAGCCAAAAAGGCAAAATATGTGAAAAGTGGAACTGATAGAACTGGTAGTGGCGGAGTACTGTGTGATTGTCCTGGATCGTGCCGCTACCTGGATCTGGTCTGGGGATCCGGCCTCGTGACCGGATTCTCAGGGTGTGGTGTGGGATCTGTCCCAAAAGCGGGTGGAAGCGTAACGTGGCCAGAGGGTGGAGTGGCACATATGCTGGGCACATGGACGGTAATGGTTTTCGTCACTGTCCTGTGAGGCTGGTATTGCCGCATGTTGGCGGACGGCCTGCCGTTGTTGATCCGGGCGGCTGCTGAGACCCGCTGTGCCCTCTCTGCCTCACAGAAAGCTTACTGCGGCCACTGCAGTGAGAGGATATGGGGACTCGGAAGGCAGGGCTACAAGTGTATCAACTGCAAGCTACTGGTCCATAAGCGCTGCCACAAGCTCGTCCCTCCCACCTGCCAAAGGCCTATGGTAAGTCTAAGATGGCCGCCCAGGGCCACCGTCACATGCAACAGCAGCTGGAGGCCTCACCAGATCCTCCTAGTACTGAACCTAAAGGGTTTAACTAGAGTGACTGCAAGGGAGCAGAATAACCAGCAGTCTGACATTCTCTATAACTGTCTGGCATTAGTACATTAGTGTTGGCTCTAGCTATAGGCAGAATAGGCCAAAGTCAGGCCCCCAAATTATCTGCATTGTGGAGGAAGGGAACCATCAAAGTAAAGCTGTATCTAGGGCCCCTGATTAGGTAGAGCCAGGCCTGAAGTTCATGTTGGTGGTTTCCCAATCCGGTCCTCGGGAGCCTGCAGACAGTCCAGTTTTTGCAGAAATGTGGCAGGGAGCTGGGAGGAAGCCAAAACATGGACTGTCTGGGGGTCCCCGAGGACCGGACTGGGAAACACGGCTGCAGGGGATTAGTGTGTGGTCTGACTGGTCAGAAGCTTCTCCCTGTATGTCTCACTGAAGACTTGCATGCCGAAAAGCAATAGCTGATATACCACAAACATCTACACTCTCACACACATACAAAACCTTTTGGTCTTCGATGGACTCTGAACCCTAGAACCCCCACTATTCTCTTTGGTTCCATTCACATTGGTTTTCCACATTGGTTGCTCCATCGAGTACACATCGCTGTAGGCATCTCCAAAACCACACCAACATTAAACAGTACAGCTTATGAATACAGGGAAGTTTGTAACAGTGACTGAGATCCCACATATGTTCATGGATCATAAAATGATCCATTTATGTTCTTGGAATAACTAATAAGTCTCTTTTTCCTATTTGTGTGTCTTTGGCGGCCATCACAAATTTGCGATCAGCTGTCGGTCATCAAAATAATCACCAGAGCCCCTCTGGCTCTGATACTGTGGCACATTGACTGATGATCAGGAATCATGGCCCTGTTTGTCTCAGCCTCTGTTCAATGGGTGTAAAAAGGGAGGGTAGAGAGAAGATGCTAAATTTACCCTAAGTCTCTAGGACATTGACCTAAAAGCTTTCTCTTCTTAAACATGTTAGCACTTGGCACCGTGGGTCCCCAAACACTCCTGTCCTTGGGGGTGGGTTGATGGGATAACCCTGGACAGCATCACATGATCACACACCTAACGAGATCCTTCCACTGCAGCGTATCGATCATCTGTATAGTGTAACGCTTCAGGCTGAAAACGGGATTGATTGGGTCATTTTACGCCCTGATCTGATTATCTCCACAAGCAATTTGACTGGCTTCAGAGCTAATTGTAGATGCGTTTTCCATGCACCCATCCATCCATCCATCCATCCATCCACCCATCCATCCATCTAGCCACTTTTCCTGCTCTGGGTTGGTGATGGTGCCACACCATCACAGGTAGCATATGACACAAGGCAGGGCAGGATACCAGGATGTTTTGCCCTGTAAATTCCTGATATTTCTTTTACACTCATATTAATGTTTAGGATGTGACCTTTTACCTTTGGGCACTGACACAGTGCTTCCTGCTAACACCTGTCCTGCCACCCCGCTCTCCCAGGATCCAACCATGCCATCCCAGGAGCCCCCAGCAGACGACAGGAACGATGAGGTGGACATCCCACCTGAAGACACGGATGAAAGTAGGCTTTATTTCCTGCGTCTGTTCTCTTAAATGACAGTAGATTGGATGCTGTAGTCAGGTGACAGAGTGGCCTAATTGAGATGGGGGGAGGGAGCAGAATGCCGTACTTTCCATCCTAAAGGCTTGTGGCGCCATCTACTGACTACATTTATATTACAATTTCATGAACGGCACAAGTTTTTTTTTTTTTTTTCAGTTTTTCCCCCCACAGTCAGTATTTAAATAATTTCCTTAAGCTGCAGCTGTAAAATTCTGATTAATTAATAGATTCTCACACATGGCACTCTGTTGTATAATTGTTGTAAAGCCTCTCATTTACAGCTTTGAAGTTTAGGGTTTATCAGGGAAGTGTGTTCCTCACTCCTCGTACCCTTAGCGCTAACAAACAAGCCTTCCCAGGGTGTCAGAGAGCATATCAGTACTGACCAGGCTCCCCAATTGCGGATCTCTTCCAGTTCCCTTCCCAGCACACAATCGCACAGTGGAGAAATCTGAGGATGAATCAGAGGTGAGCAAAGTACCACGGCATCCTTCTTTTTTCTTTGTTTATTTGCCCTAAAGGGTCTTTTTCTGTTTTCAAAGTTGCAATGCATTATGGTGGTTAATTTCCCTGAGCTGTGACTTAGTGTTCACCTTCTTCATTTTACTTTAAATTTAATGGATTCTAATAAGGTAGATTACACATAATATTAAAATATTTAAATCTTGGTGTGGTGGCTGGCAGAATTCACCCAGAGGGCTACAGTAACAATGAGTTTTTGATAAATTTTATTAAATCGGTGGAGTGGAAGACCTTGTATCCTTTTTGCAAGGTAGCCATTGGCTGCTGCAGCTTTTCCTTAATGTCACCTGCTGCATGCTGGCCAGTGTGCAGAAGCTGGGCCGTGGAGTGTCCTCCGATTCTCCGTTGTCCCACCTTCCTTGAAGCAGTGGAGGTTTTTTCATGTTGTAAACGAGGATCTCGAAGCTCCTGCTTGTTAGGGGTCTTTCCTGGGCCTCGAGCGCTAACGGGTTGCCCTGTTCTTGAGAGAAACACTGAGTGAGCTGTTTCATTGCTTGCTTTAGTTTCAGGTCTACGTTGCTTTACTGGAGCAATAGTTTGGGTAGTAAATCAACTTTCCTCGTGTTTGAGGCATACGACAAGCTGAATAATATCTTCTGAACCCTCCTGGGCCACAGCTCTTGTAAACTGGAGTTTACTGGACTGTATATGACCACCCTTGACCAAGAGATTGGGATTATGGGTTTGACATAGAGCCGAGAGTTTGGAGGTGAGGACTGGAGACCACATATTGTGACCCTATTTGTGATTAGACTTGGAGGCTGATATGCTATACTGTCAGTGTGCTCTTGGGGGCGCTATAGAGGGACCAGCTCATTCACATTTGACGATGGAACTGCTGGAGGTGCGGAAGGAGAAAGCCGGGAAATACTCAGCTAAACGGGGCTTTTTTTAGTCAGAAAGTCCAGTAGCAAGGGACAAAGCCATTTAGTTTGACGAAATCAACATATTAGACACTGAGTCACTACTCATCTCACTTAATTCTCTACTTTGTTGTATGTGACGGTTTTGTCCTTGTTTTAAATGCCAATAACATCACTGAACTTGACAGCAAGATAATAGGTAATAGTGGCCTTAAATATTAATGTTAATTGTAGCTAGATCAGGAGTCAGGCTTCCAGTGACTGAAGGCATTTTCTGAACTGCCTGCTTTTGTGGTTTTTCTCTGTGATATTGGTGTCTCAACTCCTGCCCTCACCCTGCATGACCCATTATGGCTGGAAATGATCCTCTTAATAATAATGGGAGGCACCTAAGTATTCTGTCTGCTTCTCACGCAGGACATGAAGACGCTGGTGGACGGCTTGGACAGCATAAAGATCTCCCAGGGCCTGGGACTGGGTGATTTCGACCTGATCCGGGTCATTGGGCGGGGCAGCTATGCCAAGGTGCTCCTAGTTCGGCTCAAGAAGAATGACCAGATTTATGCCATGAAAGTGGTGAAGAAGGAACTGGTGCATGATGATGAGGTGAGAGAGTACAACGCAGCCCCTTTTCAGTTACTTGGCCTCAAAGGTTCAGATTATTGTTTGTGTAGGGTTGGGACGATTATATTTTTGGCCACTAGATGGAGCTGTTGAAGAAGAAATCGTACAAATTCTTGGTCTGCGTGTGGAGTGGTATTGTAGTCCACAGGAGCAGGAAGCCAAGAAAAACTTTGAGGAAATCAAAAGTACGATGGCTTCTCATTTCACTTCAACTGTTTCAGATTTTACTTTACTTTTCTTTTAATACACGTTTCTGTTAGATCGGACTGGTCTTGTCATAAAAACAGCCATTCGGCATTTTAAACCTCTGCTCCTTCTGATTTACCAAGCAGCCCCTATTCTTCGTGGAGTGTTTGCCTGACAGAATTTTCCCAGGCAGCTTCATGAGAAACTTTTCATTAATCCATTTGTTCTCTTCGCCAGACAGATGCATCCAGAAGATCCTAAAATATCACATAAATATGCCAAAGAACTGAAAAATAAACTTGAGGTATACCGATTGAGTATTACAGCTGAACTGGCCTAGTTCTAATAGCGCAGTCAGAAACATGTTTAAAACAAAAACACAAAATGATCTCAAGGTGCTGCGACTGAGAGTGGTCACATGGGAAAGGTCAGGGGTCGGGGCTCAGGATTATGGAGCCTCAGAGAACATGTCAAGAAGTTTGGCGAGGATCGTGGCACCAGGCCGGACACGGGTCACAAACAGTAGCGGGCTTGCCCATTCTCCCTCCTCCCTGCCGCCCACGCGTGCGACTATGAGAACCCAGTGCAGCCCTCTGGAGCTGAGCACGTCCTGGCGAGGCTCCGGGGGTTGCAGCGGCATAGATGGATGGCCCAGGAGGTAGTTAAAAGCGGCTCTGGACGCGATACTTGCTTACTCATGCAGCACGCTTGGCCTTTGGCATCTGGCCCCCGTTTCTGGCCGGCAGAGGCCAAGGAGGAGTCCAAATTAATAACGAGGGGAAAATAGAGGAGCTGGACAGGGTCTTTCCTACCGCTCCGTTGTTTATGGGAACGGACTCGGAAGGCAAGGCTAATGAAATCCTGGCATCTTCCCGTCACTGTGCGTCGAGGAGGAGGCACAAACCTGAGTCCTATTGTTTGAGCTTTTCCTCTCTTCCCTCGGACGTGTTTCTCGTTCTTTTTTTTTTTTTTGTTAATCCGTCATAATGATGGATTGCGTCGAAACGGCTGTAAACTGAATTAATCCTGTCTTTGCCCAAACAGAAGAGCTCTTCCTTTGTTCTGAGAGCATCTTGGCAGAATGTCTCGAGGTGCAGGAAGGAGGTCCTTCCATGGGGCCCTCTATTCCGAGGGTCTTTGTGTAGCGCGGCATTCTGGGAAGTGACACCCCAGCCCTTGGAGATCCACCTCATCTTTTTCCGCGCCCCCTCGGCCCTGAATCGTGGTGTCATCAAGTAACCGCAGTGGGGCAACGCGAAGCTTGTGAAACACAGGAGGCTTTCATCTTGTTTTTGGGAAACGACGACCTATGAAATCTGTGCCAAAATTACCATCCCTAAAGTCCTACGGAATCTGTGCAAAAGTTATGTGTATTAAAATGTCACCTCTATGAAAATATGAGTAACCAAAGGCTGAACGAATGTAAAATGGTTGATCAAATGATTCAATGAATAAGTCATACAACTGGGCACTGCACCTAATCACCTGGCTTCTCATCAAGGCTTTTCATCACTGTTTTGCCGGCTGGAACATTAGTGTTTTTTTAGATCCACTTTACAGGAATAAGGCCTGTACTGTATTTACAATGATCTTCGGTCATGGTGACTGCCCCCTGGTGGAGGGAGGCTGAAATACCATTGACCATTTAGGACAAACTTCACACTGAAATTAGTAGTGAGTGGTTCATTGCTTGCAGGTGGGCGAGGAAGAATCAATGGCTGTTTAAAAAAATAATCATAATAAGAGAAAATTCAATTGGAGGTCCAGCCATAATCAATCAGCGTAGCCAGACAAGGAATGAAGGTCAGGAATGTGAAATAAACGCGGACAGCTGTCTTCCTGCAGGATGCCTGTGCATCCTCATCGCAGTAATCTTCTTTCCTTTGGCAGGAAATTAAATCGCTCTGATTTATTGAAGTGGGCTGTGTGCTCTTGTATCTGTCTCATGTTAAAACTTACTCTGTGAAAAGTATCCATTAGGGACTTTTGGCAACAGTCCCATCGTCAATCGGGGTGACAGAGTGATTGGTTCCACCAATGAGACATAACTAGACCTCTCCACCCATGAAAACACAATGAAATACATTTTGCCTTTTTGCTTCCAGATCATGACACTTTCTATCCCTTTCTCTTTGTATCTCACCAATACCGACCATGTTTTCAGAAGATTTCTTAAGTAGAGTGTGTCCCGTGAGTGGTGGTGGTATTTTCTGCCCCCTCCCCCATACCATTATAGCGAAAACGGGCCGAGCGGCTGCAGAGTATGGTAGATTTTGGGCCCCCTGTCCCTTCCATCACTTTCCCTGTGAATATCCCTTTTTAGCGGTTTCTTGAGCACAGGTACTGTAGAGTGTACAGTTGGACAGGTAGCCTGTACGAAAAATAAGTCTAGCCTGTCCTGACATCACGGGGGTGACCTTTATCCATGCCAGTTCCCCGTTTCCCAAGCAGAACCCGGCGTGCACAGCGAGGCTTGCCGGTTATATTTTACGTTACGTAATCCATTTACACAGCTGTGTATTTGAGCAGTGCCATTGAACTGACGTACTCATCTCGGAGGGGCCGGCAGCTGTCGTTTTTAGTGTATCGTGGCCAAATGCAGTGTCTCCTCTCTGTATCCTTTTTAAAAAATTATTTTGTAAAGAAAACCGGCAGCAGATTTAATATTCCCTGTGAGTTTTGCTGTACGGGCTGCAGGTGGCGTAATGGCTAAAGCGAACCAGACAGCTTCCGTTGCACCCCTGGGCAGCGTGCTTAACCTCAATCGTTTCAGCAGATGCGTTCGGCTGTTTAAACGAGCGACGTTGCCGTATGTTTGCTTTGCGTGTCAAACAAGCGATAAGTAAGTGAGGACAGAAGACAGAGTTAATAATGCGTTCTTGGGTATTCTCTCTCTGTCTGTGCTTGTTCTGCTCTACAGGACATTGACTGGGTGCAGACAGAGAAGCACGTGTTCGAACAGGCGTCCAGCAACCCCTTTCTGGTTGGCCTTCACTCCTGTTTCCAGACCGACAGTCGGTAAGTTGCTCGTTTGTTTTTCGCCTCACGCGTGGCTTGGGACCAGAGGCACTGCACCCCTGCCTCGAAGGGTATGCTCAGGGCCACCGAATCTCGGTCACAGACACGAGTCACGAGGTCCAGCGGGGGAACCCACAGTTCAGTTCCATCTCCTCGCGCCTTGGGTTGGCGGTGGGGGTCCCTGGTTGCACGAATGGCGTCATTAGCGGGGAATTCGGTAGCAAGCGAGGGTGACGGTCTGTGGGATTAGCTTTGTTCGGGAGAACACGGGATACAATATGGAGTTAGCGCTGGGGTGGCTACGGGGTGACGCTTTTCACGCCAACAAAGGCGACCCTCCCCGGGCGAGTAACTCACACCGGGGGAGCGTTTCTGACTCCAGCCCCCACCCCCACCCACCAACTGGGGCCCGTTCAGGGCTCGGCCGGGTTCCCTAATCTGGGCCCACAAGCCGCCGCATGCAGCCACCTGGCACGGTCTCCACAGTGATGAGAACCTTCAGGCGGGTGAGTGGGGGGGGGGGGTGGATTAAGTTCCTCGGAGAGAAGCGAGGAGCTTGAGCGTGCTGGTTGGCAGGCTTCAGCATGCTCCTGACAAACCGCTGACCCAGCAACAATGAGGAGAAAATGTACTGTATATTACTGGGAAGTGGGGGGGGGGGGCTTGGTGGTCCGATCAGAGTCAGAGAGAAGTGGAAGAGACCTGATATCCCAAGCTGCCCACAAGAGTCCTGCTCAGTCTTGTAGGGTCTCTTCTGCATCATTGGGTGCTTCCAGGCTTCCAGACCTTGCACTCTTTTCGATTAACACACGCATTTGTTTTTATACACACCCCTGTTCCATGTTGCATATGTTCACAAGCATTCACGGTCTCAGTCGAGGCATTGAGGGGGGGAGAGTCCACGAGGGGCTGTCTCACTGGGGTGCCATTTGCCTTCCAGGTTGTTCCTGGTGATCGAATACGTCAACGGTGGCGACCTGATGTTCCACATGCAACGGCAGCGGAAGCTTCCGGAAGAACATGCCCGGTGAGAAGCCCGACAGCGCGCAAAACAGCCCCCCTCCCCTCTTCTGGGCTAATTTCCTTCATTTGTTTATTTATTTTGTTATTACAAGGGAAATCATGGGGCACAAATTGGAGCACACGTTTGTCCGCGCATGCCGCTCTTCGATGGCTCTTCCTCATGAGCCGGCGCCTGTGAGAACACTCAGTCCCCACCGCTCTCTGCCCTCATCTCCCGCTGCAAGTATAATTGAAAAATGCCGGCTAGCGCGGAGATTTTTTCCCAAAATAGCCTCGCTGAAGATGCAGTAGCCCGCAAGCGTCCGGCTTTTCCGGGGAACACGTTTAGGTTAAGTTGACATGACCTGCTCAGCTCCCAAAGAGCCGTAGGCTGCGTTTTGGCTGACGCCAACCACACAACGCGGCACGTGAGCACCCTCTGCTATCAGCCCCATATTTTAGATGAGGATGAATCGTTGTGTCCTAAGATTTTTAGCGAAATCTGGCCCGACTATCCCGCATTTTCCAGACTGCTCCTTGGCGATGCCGTTACCACGGTAAAACCGGTTGCCACGAAAGAACCGGTTGCCCCACAGGGTTCAGGACCGTTTGCCGTTTTTAATCACGGTGTAATAAACAGGGATTAGGCCGAGGGTAATTGGTAGAGGCATGAGTGTCACTACAACGCGGTCTGCATTCAGGGAGTGGTGATCTCGTATGTGAAGCAGCGTGTTAATCACAGATAATGATCTCACATATTCATGAGCTGCTCGCCAAGGTCCCAGAAGCCCTTTCAGGGAGTAACGGCTGCGGTGACACGGAGCAGACCTCACACAGCCCGTGCCAGCAGAGCTTGCCGAATGGGTAACACTTTTAAACATGTTCAGAGGCAATTCAAAATGTCATTTGTGGAGTACAATAGTGAATGTTCGGCTTATGCAAATGAGGGACAGAACTAGTATTTCATGAGAAATGAATTCAAATCACAAGTCTGAATCCCCTTTGAATCCCCCCTGAATCCACATTCTAGACTTTGCACTCTGGAAAATGAAGGGTTTCAAGCAGAGAAAATTAATCCACGTCATGCATTAAGTTAAATATCATATTAATTGATTGAAAGAATATGTGTTTACATGGTATACTCAATTTTCTCCATAGATTTTATGCAGCTGAGATATGTATTGCTCTGAACTTTCTCCACGAGAGAGGTATAATCTACAGAGACCTTAAGCTGGACAACGTTCTCTTGGACCATGAGGGGCATATCAAACTGACAGACTACGGCATGTGCAAGGTGAAATCCTCCCTGTTCCCTCATCTTTCTTTTGCATCTTGTACTAATTCTGTGGTATTATATGATTGTAGATTTAGAAATAGGAATTGATCCTTCTGCATGTCTCCTGAAGGTATAAACACTCTGTGTGTGTCTGTCCTTTTTCTAGGAAGGAATCAGACCCGGAGACACCACCAGTACTTTCTGTGGAACACCTAACTACATTGCCCCGGAGATCCTGCGTGGGGAAGACTATGGTAGGTGTGTAGGGATGCCAGGAAGCATGGGGAGGGATTAGGGAAGGGGGGGAGTGCATAGGAGCTTAGCAGGAACAGGAAGTGAACAGTAAGGGGGCAGGAAGTTAACGGGGCAGCAATGGGTGGAACAATGAAGGAACTCGGGGACAAATAGGGAGGTGATGGTAAGGAGCAGTCGAGTAAATGGGAAGAAACACAGTGCTGTGACTGAAGCTGCTTCTACCGGCCCCACAGGGTTCAGCGTGGACTGGTGGGCACTGGGTGTCCTCATGTTTGAGATGATGGCTGGGCGGTCCCCGTTTGACATCATCACAGACAATCCAGACATGAACACAGAGGAGTACCTTTTCCAAGGTGAGTCCCGCTGCGAGCAGGCGACCAGGCCTGTGTACTCCCACTCTCTTGTGTGTGTGTTCCCAGTCGATTGGTGGGTAGGACCGGGGCAAGCAAGAGGCTCGCCGACGATGTATATTCATAATCGGCCTTCGTTGGAGCTCTTCGGCTGTGGCAACGCAAGGACAGATCTCTCAATATTAAGTGCGGAGAGTGTCTTATCAGCGATGGGTAGTTTCCCCACAGATCAGACACTAGCGCCCCCCCCCCCCCCACAAGAGGCTGTGGGTAGCCACTTCTCCACCAAATCTGATTCAGAGTTCAGAGCAGCCGAGCCGATGAGCCATCAGACTTGCGGCTGTAACCGCAAGAGACAAATCCGGTTAAGTTCGCATGGAGAGGGAGCGTAACAGACAGGCCTGCATTTAGGAAGCAGGTGATCAAACAAAAAACAACAGCTTTTACCCGGGAGCGCGGTAATTTTAACAGCCTTTTATCCTGAAACTCTGCCATTTGGTTATAAAGAAATGGAAATGTGGAGCTGGGCGCATTCTCTTATTTCTGATTACCCGAAATAGGCATCTACTCACCGCACGCATTCCTTCAATGTCAAATGATCAGTGGAAAAATGATCAGTTTGGCTGTGAAATAATCTTGTGTTTTTCTTAAGGGTGGGTTTAAGGACTACAGATATAGTATCATAAATTAGTACTAGTAAATAATTACAATAAACACATAGAACACACACACAAGCTACGGAGGGATTGCTGTTGTTGACGTGGAACCTTATTTTGTTGGTCTCTTGGTGGCTTGACTCTCTTTTCTCTCTCTCTCTTTTCTCTCCATCTCTGTCTCCCCCTGACGCCCCCCCACCCCTTCCCCACACTCAGTTATTCTTGAAAAGCCCATTCGCATTCCAAGGTCTCTGTCGGTGAAGGCAGCTAGTGTTCTGAAGGGCTTCTTGAACAAGGTAAGAGTGTTGACCGCGGCTCGCCCTTCTCTACAGGCCTCATCAGAGTCGCCTAATCTCCCTGCTTTGAAATGGACTAAGGAACCGGATTGTTCCTCCGTGCAATTTATAGTACAGCAACAACTGCTCAGCCCTGGTTTCCCCTGCCCTCCACCCCCACACTGCTGCCCTTTTTCGTTTGGCTCAAAGCAGAAACAGAATCCTTGCTGTGACGCTTTGAGGCGAAAGTAAACTGAAAGTAAGAACATGCGTCACTCTTGATGGTCGTTAAATGTTCGGTTCTTGGCAGCTTTGAAGTTATCGGGAGGTTGTAGGCTTGGTGTTTCACCACTAGAAGGTGACGCATTAATTCAGCCATCTATCCATCTTCAATCACTGCCTGTCTAGTACACTAGTAACCTGGTAGCTATTGCCAGGAAGCAGACAAACATTAACAAAGAACCAGTTTCATGATGAAGGATGGAGCGGAATTAAAGCAAACTAAGAAACACTTTCGCATTTTCCTCTGTGATGACGATGACATTATACACCTTATACTGAGGATAAAATTAACAAAATAAAATTAAACCGAGTGATAAAAGCACCAGTAGTCAAGCTATATTGAATTTCCATGAATCTAATCAGCCAGTCTGAGGTTAATCAAACAAATTGCATTCCCTATCTGAAATCTGGCTAGACGCGGAGATATAGGAGGTTTACGAAAGATGCAAAGCGCAGCATCACAGTGTGTCATAACAAACAAACCTTTGTGTCACAGGCATGTGAAACCAGTCTTAGTCTTATCCAGCTGGAGCATGATAAGACCTAGTGATCCGTGCAAGGCATTTATGGTAAACAAATTACCAGCTAATGATTTACATTAAGAGGCTCTGAAAACAGTCGATGTCTGCTGTCAGTGACTAAGTGGGGTTTCTGCATCTCAACGCTAGAGTATTTTCAACCATGCTGCCACATTACACAGGAGTATGTGCAGTGATACTGCATCACTGCAGTGGAATATGTGCAGTGATGCTGCCACATTGCACAGGAGTATGTGCAGTGACGTGTTTTTTTTTTCTGAACGACACATGACCCAGGACATGGATAGTGTGACGAAACAAACGTGAACATGCAGTGTCAGCGTACAGCTGTGTGCAGTGTTGCTGCCTGAGCTAGGGCCCTCCTGCACCATGCTTGAGCTTTCTCGTCATGGTTGAATGGGTCTTGAAGAACAATAACAGTCACATTAAAATGCCAATTTCCCTTGTTGAAGGAAAGAGAATATTGTATAGCATAATCCATCACAAGATCCGTTTTACTACAGACAAGGCCACTAATTAACGCTAAAAAGCACTTGAACGAACTGTAAGGCTGCCCATTTAGAGCAGCTGACATATAATTTCGGGATATGAATCGATGGGTGTGTTGGCTGTTGCCCTTTCCACGGCACCCCCTACTGCCTGCAGCCAGGTATATTTGGCCCCCTCCCAAAACAAGTAGGTCGGCCCCCAGGAGGCGTGCTGATCCCAGACCTGCTATAGGAACTCTCACATCTGCCGTAACTGAGTAATGAAATCTGCGATGACCTTAATTAATTTCATGGTAATTTCACAGTAATTTCCACTAACAGGAAGCAAAGACGGGATAACACGTGGCCTACATTAACACCGGCACCCCCTGAAACGTTATCTATTTCATGAATGAGGAGGTTTTCATTCACTGCTCACTGCTGCAGTGTTAGGGAGAGCACTGCAATAGCAGGCTCTTTGGCCTCTTCCCTCTGGGTGACCGGCTCTGCTGTCCTGGCAGGACCCCAAGGAGCGGCTGGGCTGCCAGGTCCAGACGGGCTTCATGGACATCAAGTCGCACACGTTTTTCCGCAGCATAGACTGGGACCAGGTAAGCCTCCAGCGGCCGTCAGGTACTTGACCTTTGACTTTGGGTGTTGGACTTCATTTATGATCAATGGTCGAGGCGCCTGACTAGATTCAGAGTTTATTGTCATGTGCCGTAGTCCGTTCCACTATGCAATGATAATCTTACTCTGCCTGTCCTTCCAGCCACCGATAAACACAAATCAAACACAAAACACAGACCACATTGGTGCTTACAGCAAGACAATAATTGCAGTGACGATGATGACAATATAGACCTGGACGCAGTGTGATGTAACTTACAGTGCAATATAAACATAATGCAAATAAAACACCTCGACTGAACAAACATCATGTGCAAAGAGCTGAGTGGGAAAGCAGGACTCTTAGCATTAGCTATTGTAAAATGTGTCACATGTAACTGAATAATAACAATAATAAGAGTGGAAATCATAAGCTTGGATTCAGTGTGATTTTTGACACCAGGCTTTTGTTGTACATGCAAGGCGTACCATGGAGAGTCTGCTTTCCTGGGAGAGTGATATGGGTATTACCCTTGGAGGTGCAGGTACATCACTAATGGGTGTCCTTTCACGTTTCGGGCCAGGGGACTGCATTTGCCCGTCGGTGGCTACAGCGTTTCAAAGGAATCCGTGGCTCTAATGGCGACGCTTCCCCACACCCAGCACTTCACTTCACATGTGTTCCTCCCCTTTTTTTTTTTGCAAAAGCTTATTAAAAATAAAAATCCGCAGGCAGATGTTTGCATGTGGCTGCCGGTGCCACTGGTTAGACTGGGATTGATCGCGCATGAAGAGCAAAGGTCACGGCTTCGCACAGTGTGTCAGCAGAAGGATCTTAACCCAAGTATGGTAGCTATTAGCACTGCGATGCATGTGTAAAATATGTCTTATAATGAGTTTTTATTCTTCTAGCATGGTGACGAGTCTTACTGAGCATCCCCTCTGAAAAAAGGTGACTAATGTAGGCAGTGTGCGGCTCAGCAGATTAGGACGCCGCCATGGGAAAGTCACCAGTTAAAATCTTGAAGTCAGCAGAGTGACTTGACCACTCGGACCTTGAGCAACCTCCTATTGCTTCAGGGACTGTCTGGGCCTGCTTTCTCGAAATATGTATGTCGCTTTGGATAAAAGCGGCCGCTAAGTAAATAAAATGTAAGATGATACCTTGTAAGACCTGAATAGCTGTGTGTGAATTGCACGTAAAACATGGATGACGCAGAGAGACGAGGACTACAACGGAAGGGCACGGCCTGAAAACGGACGGCCATTCGGCCTGTGTGTTCATTCAGGGACGCCAGCGTTAGCCGTGACGCCCCCTCTGGATTTCTCGGAAGGCCGTGGGCGGCAGGACAGGGGGTCCTGCCCAGCGCCGTCGTATGAGCGAGTGTGCGCATTCTTTCTGGGAACCATTCAGGGAGCCACACTGAAGGCCTCTGACAAGTTCTTTGGTTTCTATTATAACTGTAATCAAGCATTTCTGCTCATTCCCGGCTGCACCTCACTGTGTCTAATGGGGGCTCTGCTGTATTTGCCCTGCATCTCTGTTGCCATGGAGACCTGCAATCGCCAATGAACATGCCGTGAAATTTTTTTTCATACGTATTAGCGGCACACCTATTTTTCAGAGCCACCAGTGACCTCACAAGTCAGTGGATCGCCGGATCTCATTACTGGGTAGTCCTCGTTTGCATTAGCGCAGTTAGCGCAGTTAGCGATTCCAGCTAGTATCCCCGTCGGGTGGTTTTCACTTCAAGTGGTTCACCTGTAGCTAATATTAATTCGGCTGCTGTACATTTAGCATAAATCAAGGCTTAGAAGATTTATCTTATATAAAACACTGAGCAATATCTCAAATGTTTAAGCTAGGATTTTTCTATTTTTTTGTGTGATATTGCACTGTACAAAATGGGTAAAAGTATGCCACAAGATTGTGTAAGTTAAGGCAAAATGCAACAAAACAGACTCTCTGTATCAAAATTAAAAATGAATCAAGCTACCCAGGTCATATTCTGGACTGATTTGTAGAGCAAAGCATAATGTAATGTGATCTGAGCCAGGCTGATAGCCTTTCCAGCATCCTACCTTATCATCATGCCTCACTTTTCCAGCTCAAAATAGACTAAAGAAGGAACCTCTCAATGCCATGAAGAATTTCAGCCTTTTTTTTGACCTAGCATGTAATCACTGTTGAAGTGATTGATGCCTCTTTCTATATCTAACATTTCCGGTCACTACCTGTAAATAGAAGGGAGAAGGGGATTAATTTCACACGGTGTTTGACGCCAGGCAGAATCATCATGAGGTGGCGGGAGGCAACAAGAAGATCCCACGTTATGAGGTTGCTGGTTGTTCTTGGCGGCGTAGTGGTGGACCTATCGGCCAGGTGGGGCGGACAGCACCATCATGGCCAGAAGCATCAAACCCAGCCGTAGCTCAGACGCCTGAAACGATGCCCGGCTGCCACCTTTTACATACGTCTCTCTCCTGCTTGTTCGCTTTATTTAAAAAAAAAAAAAAAACTTCTCTGCTTCTCTTCTCGGGCTGTGCGTTCCAAAGCCTGCCGCACGCCCAGTGTGGGACGGAGCTGCCCGCTGATCAGGAAGCTTCCTAACGGCCCCTTGAAAAACGGATTCGGTAATTAGAGTGGGGGGGGGG